TTTTTTTTTTTTTTTACAACCACTTAGCTCTCCGTTTGCTTCCAAAACCTACTTTTTTTGTTTTGAGACAGGGTATCTCTCTGTGTCTGATCATAGCTCACGGCAGCTTTGACCTCCTGGGTTCAAGGGATCCTCCTGGCTCACCCTCCTGTGTAGCTGGGACCACAGGAATATGCCACCATGCCCAGCTAATTTTTAAAATTTTTTGGTAGAGATGGGGTCTTTCTGTGTTGCCCAAGCAGATCTCAAACTCTTGGGCTCAAGCAGTCCTCCTGCCTTGGCCTCCAAAAGTGCTGAGATTACAGGTGTGAGCCACAACACCCAGCCCTCCAAAAACTACTTTGAATTGTACTTTTCTTCCTTCACGGTGGTGTACCACAAACTATGCACACTAAGGAGAAAGGTAGCTTTCGTCTCCAGTTCACTTTTCTTTTTGTGTTGTTACTTATGCTTTAAGAAATACAAATTTAAAACTAGATTATAGTTAACTTGCAACGTGTGCTTAGAGAACCTAAAAAGAAGTTTTTACAATTCCAGAACATTCCTGGAGTTCTCTAGCAAAGATTGCAACTAAATCAGTATTCCTCTGTGCTAGCTTATTTAAATTCAAGAACTTTTGCAACATAGTTTATTATTATGCTGATTTTTTGTTGTGTATGGCTAAACTCCTGATTCATCTGTGTCTTCTAAAATGCATCATCATTGATCAGTTAGTGTGTGAGGGCAGAGGCCTTCATCATAGTCATTTAGTGATCAATAATGTTTCTTAGCAGGATGGGACATTTTAGAGTCCTCTTTTTAAAATGTTAACTCTGGTTTTAATGATTAGATTTCTTCTATGTGGTTCATGGTAACTGACCATATTTTTTTCTAAACTCTTCAGGCGTACAAATCCGTTTGGAGAATCTGGAGGAAGTACAAAATCTGAAACTGAAGGTAAAACGATGTGCAGCATTCATCTATTTTAGAACTGCTTCTCAGCAAACTGTGAAAAATTTGTTGTTTATATTTGCTCTGCTACCATGCTCAATTTTAATGTTATCTTTACTTCAGAATTTCCTCTACTTACTCATAGTACTCTTGAAGCAACAGAACTTAACCTGTCTTAGGATGTTGTGATTCATACAAAATGATAGACTCTCGTACTTTTGACCTTATAGTCAAATACTTAGTGCCTAAGATACCTTTCAGGCTTTTCCTAGTAGTTGATGTTTCACTTCTGGGTCTAGAGCATAAGTTTTGTTTTGTTTTGTTTTTCCCCCCACTATTTATTTTAATTTAATTCTTTTTTTTTTTTTTTTTTTTTTTAGACGGAGTCTCACTCTGTGGCCAGGCTGGAGTACAGTGTTGCAATCTCAGCTCACTGCAGCCGCCGCCTCCCAGGTTCAAGCTATTCTCCTGCCTCAGCCTCCCAAGTAGCTGGGACTACAGGCACATGCCACCACGCCCGGCTAATTTTTATATTTTTAGTAGAGATGGGGTTTCATCATGGTGGCCAGGATTGTCTCAATCTCTTGACCTTGTAATCTGTCCACCTCGGCCCCCAAAATGCTGGGATTACAGGCATGAGCCACCATGCCTGGCCTATTTATTTTAATTCTAAATTTACAGAAAAGCTCTAAGAACCATCAGTTGTTGATTTTTCTTATTTTTTTTTTTGTTTTTTTAGAGACAGGGTCTCCCTTTGTTGCCCAGGCTGATCTTGAACTCATGGGCTCAAGGGATCCTCCTGCCTTAGCCTCCCAAAGTGCTGGAATTACAGGCATGAACCACCATGCCTGGCCTGCGAACCACCAATTGTTGAAGCATTACTTTTAGCTATTTGAATTTGAAACCCTAATTTTCCTATAACTTATAATACTATAGTTAGGAGTTATTTTGAAATGTCTCCCTTAGGTTGTTGAATTTTTCACTAGAAAATCTAAAAGGAGGCAGTGTATTTTATTCTTTTGGAAAAGAAATATGGTGTTTAAAAATATGTAATACACCTTGTTCTGTTATAGATTCTATTCTTCACCAGTTATTTATTGTCCGATTCCTTGGTTCAATGGAGGTGAAATCAGATGACCATCCGGATGTTGTTTATGAAACCATGCGCCAAATCTTAGCTGCCCGAGCCATCCATAACATCTTTCGTATGACAGAATCACATTTATTAGTCACTTGTGACTGTTTAAAGTAAGTAAAACCCTCCCTTAAAAAACTGTAGGAAAAACATTTACATAATTTCAGCCTAATTAAAATGTTTTCCAATTTTTAAATTACTATTTTAGGTTAATTGATCCACAGACACAAGTTACAAGGCTCACGGTGAGTTTCACGTGATTTAAGCTTTGTTTTAGGTCCCATTATATGTATATACACATCTTACAACTTGGTAATAATCCTGATCCTGTATATTCAAGCATGATAGTATCAGCTATGATTGGTCTTTGGCTGTTGTAGTTAAGTCTAAGGCCATCTCCAAAAAGTTGTCATTGAACATTTTATGTAACTTAAAAGAATTAATACAATTTGGTGTGATACTTAGTGTTTATCCCTTAGTTAGGAAGCATATATCATACATCAAAGAAATTAACAGTAGGAATGAGAAGGTGCACGTGAGTTTATTTCATAGTTATTTATGTTCTATTTAATAATTTCTATTTGTCATTTCTATTTAATGATTAAATAGAAACAGTTATAAATATTAAATGATTAAATAGAAACACATTGTTATTTAACATATATGTGTTTATTTAATAAATGATTAAATGTTAAATAACTGTGTTTCTATTTAATCATTTATTAAAAAGACCACTTTTTAAATTCAGTTTGACTTTGTGAAATGTGTTAATGACTAATAAATATTCAACAGCCTCTTGTTTTGCTTGGTAATTCAAACCAAATATGACATTACTTGTTGCTGCATTACAAGTCTGTTAAAATAATTGTCTTTAAATTAAAATATTTATGATATTTTTAGAACTTAGCATATGAGTTTGTCATGAGTGCTGCTGTAATGATTTGTAAGATCTCATGTTTGCTTCTGATGTTTTCTGTGGCAGTTTCCATTGCCTTGTGTAGTTTTGTATGCTACGCACCAGGAAAATAAGCGCCTGTTTGGGTTTGTTCTTCGGACATCAGGCGGGAGGAGTGAAAGTAATCTGTCATCAGTCTGCTATATATTCGAGTCAAACAATGAGGGGGAAAAGGTACATGGCTTTTCAGAATATCTCTGTCGTAATCACTTACCAAGAGATTCTTAGTAAGATTTAATAATTATTAAATTCTTATTAAATTAGTAATTACTGATTGAATTCTTTACAATTTATACAAATAGGAGGTACATGTGAATTTTGTTACATGTATGTAATGTGTAGTAAGCAAGTTTGGGTATTTAGGGTGTCCACCCAAGTACAATACATTTTTGTTAAGTATAGTCACCCTACTCTGCTGTCAGATATTAAATATATTCCTTTTATCATAATCTATGGTTGTACCCTTTAACTCACCTCTCTTCATCTTCCCCTTTCCCTATCACTCAGCCTTCCCAGTCTCTGTTACCTACCATTCCACTCTCTGCCTCCACGTGATTAAATATTTAGCTCCCACATACAAGTGAGAACATGTAATACTTGTCTTTTTGTGCCTGGCTTATTTCATGTAAGATAATGACCTCTAGTTCCATCCATGCTGCTGTAAATGACATGATTTTGTCCTTGTTTGTGGTTGAATAGTACTCCATTGTGTACATGTGCCATATTTTCTTCATTTATCTGTGAATGAACATTTAGATTGATTTCATAGCTTTGCTATTTTGAATAGTGCTACAGTAAACATGTGAGTGCAGGTATCCTTTTGATATAGATTTCTTTAATTTTGGGTGGATACCCAGTAATGGGATTGTTAGATTGAATGTTAGTTCTATTTTTAGTTTTTGAAAGATCTCCATACTGTTTTCCATAGTGGTTGTACTGGTATATATTCCTACCAAAAGTGTATGAGTTACCCTTTTTTTGCATTTCACCAACATCTGTTATTTTTTGTCTTTTTAATGATAGGGTAAGAATGGCTCATTGTCATTTTGATTTGCATTTCTCTAATGATTAGTGATGTTGAGCATTTTTTTCATATACCTGGTGGCTGTTTTCATGTCCTTTAAAAAGTGTGTATTATCCTCTGCATACTTTTAAATGGGGTTGTTTTTTTTCCCTGTTGAGTTCCTTGTATGTTCTGGATATTAGTTCCCAGTTGGATGAATAGTTTCCAAATACCATCTCCCATTCAACTGGTTGTCTGTTTACTCTTACGTCTTTAGGTGTGCAAATACTTTTTAGTTTAAGCCCTATTTGTCTATTTTTGTTGCCTATGCTTTCGAGATCTTAGGCATAAAATCTTTGCCTAAACCAGTGTGCAAGAGAGTGTTCCCTAGGTTCTCTTCTAGTATTTTTTTTCCCTCTATGGAAAATAACTTTTTTTTTTTTTTTTTGGAGACGAACTCTTGCTCTGTTGCCCAGGCTGGAGCGCGGTGCCACAATCTTTGCTCACTGCAACCTCCGCCTCCTGGGTTAAAGTGATTCTCCTGCCTTAGCCTCTCAGGTAGCTGGGACTACAGGCATCTGCCATCATACCTGGCTAATTATTGTATTTGTAGTAGAAACAGGGTTTTACCATGTTGGCCAGGCTCGTCTTGAACTCCTGACCTCAAGTGATCCACCTGCCTCAGCCTTCCAAAGTGCTGGGATTACAGTTGTGAGCCGCCATGCCCAGCTGGAAAAAAATCTTTAATAGAACAATTATTGAGAATATCATAGTAATGAAGTTTCTCAAGAGACTGATTAGAGCTAAAATGGTGAAAGTAGGATTAACATTTTTAATTTTTGTGGGTACACAGTAGGTACCCCCAGTACATGCAGTACATGAAATATTTTGGTGTACAGGCAAGCAATGCATAATAATCACATTATGGAAAATTGAATATTCATTCCCTTAAGCATTTATCTATGAGAAACAATCCAATTATACTTTTTAGTTATTTTTAAATGTACAATTATTATTAACCATAATCCCCCTGTTCTATCAAATACTAGGGCTTATTCATTCTATTTTTTTTTCATATTCATTAACCATCCCTCCAGCACCCATCCCCACATACCTTTCTCAGCCTCTGGTCACCATCCTTCTCCTCTCTGTCTCCATGAGTTCAATTGCTTTTATTTTTAGATAAATAAGTGAGAACCTGAAATATTTGTCTTTCTGTGCCTGGCTTATTTTGCTTAACATAATACCTCCATGTTCCATCTATGTTGTTGCAAATGACAGAATCTCATTCTTTTTTATGGCTGAATAGTACTCCATTGTATATAAGTACCACATTTTCTTTATCTACATATCATCCATTCAAATCACAGAATCTCATTCTTTTTTATGGCTGAATAGTACTCCATTGTGCATGTGTGTATTTTCTTTATCCATTCATCTGTTGATGGACACTTAGGTTGCTTCCAAATTGTGGCTATTGTGAACAGAGCTGCAACAAACATGGGAGTCCAGATATCTCTTCAATCTATTGATTTTCTTTTTTATTTTTTTTGAGATGGAGTCTTGCTCTGTTGCCAGGCTGGAGTACAGTGGCGCAATCTCGGCTCACTGCAACCTCCACCTCATAGATTCAAGCAGTTTTCCTACCTCAGCCTCCTGAGTAGCTGGGACTACAGGTGTGCGCCACCACGCCCAGCTAATTTTTGTATTTTTAGTAGAGACAGGGTTTCACCATGTTGGCCAGGATGGTTTGGATCTCTTGACCTCGTGATCTGCCCGCCTCGGCCTCCCAGAGTGCTGGGATTACAGGCTTGAGCCACTGCATTCGCCCGATATCCTTTTTTTAAAGTATATACCCAGAAGTGAGATTGCTGGATCATATGAAAGCTCCATTTTTAGTTTTTTGAGGAACCTCCAGACTTTTCTCCATAGTGGTTATACTAATTTACATTCCCACCAACAGTGTACAAGAGTTCCCTTTTCTCCACATGCTTCCCAGCATTTGTTATTGCTTGTCTTTTTGCTATTGCTTGTCTTTTTGCTGTAAGCCATTTTAACTGAAGTGAGATAATACATTGTAGTTTTGATTTGCATTTCTCTGATGATCAGTGATGTTGAGGACCTTTTTATTGTTTGCCACTTGTGTGTCTTCTTTTGAAAATGTTTATTCAAATCTTTTGCTCATTTTAAAATCAGATTATTAAGTTTTTTTTTATAGAGTTGTTTGAGCTCCTTATAAATTCTGGTTATTAATCAGTTGTCAGATGAGTAGTTTGCAAATATTTTCTCCCACTCTGTGGCTTGTCTGTTCACTTTGTTGTTTCTTTTGCCATGCAGAAGCTTTTTAACTTAATGCAATCCCGTTTGTCCATTTTTGTTTGAGTTGCCTGTGTTCGTGGATATTACTCAAGAAATTTTAGCCCAGACTAATGTCTTGGAGAGTTTCCCCAATATTTTCTTGTATTAGTTTCATAGTTTGAGGTCTTGGATTTAAGTCTTTAATCCATTTTGATTTGATTTTTGTATATGGTAAGAAAGAGGGGTCTAGTTTTTTCTTCTGCATGTGGATATCCAGTTTTCCTGGATCCATTTATTGAAGGGACTGTCTTTTCCCCAATTATATTCTTGGCACCTTTGTCAAAAATGAGTTCACTGTAGTAGTGTGGATTTGTTTCTGGGTTCTCTATTCTGTTGCACTGGTCTATGTGCCTTTTTTTTTTTTTTCCTTTTTTGCAAATACCATGTCATTTTGGTTTCTGTAGCTCTATAGTATTGTAATTTGAAGTCAGGTAATATGATTTCTTTAGTTTTGTTCTTTTTGCTCAGAATAGCTTTGGTTATTCTGGATCTTTTATGATTCCATATCAATTTTCAGAATTTTTTCTATTTCTGTGAAGAATGTCATTGGTTTTTTGATAGGGATTACATTGAATCTGTAGATTGCTTTGGGTAGTATGGACATTTTAACAATATTGGTTCATCTAATCCATGAATATGAAATATGTTTCTATTTTGGGTGTTCTCTTCAATTTTTTTCATCAGTGTTTTATAGGTTTTTTTTTTTTTGGTTTTTTTTTTTTTTTTTTTTTTTTGAGAAAAAGGGCGACTCTATTGCCTAGGCTGGAGTACAGTGGCATGATCTCGGCTCACTGCAACATCTGCCTCCCAGGTTCAAGCGATTCTCATGCCTCAGGCTCCCAAGTAGCTGGGATTTCAGGTGTGTGCCACCATGCCAGGCTAATTTTTGTATTTTTAGTAGAGATGGGGTTTCACTGTGTTGACCAGGCTGATCTCAAACTCCTGGCCTCAAGTGATCCACCTACCTTGGCCTCATAGAGATCTTTCACTTTGGTTAACTCCTAGGTATTTAATTTTATCTGTGGCTATTGTAAGTGGGATTACTTTTTGTTATTTCTTTTTCGGATTGTTTACTGTTGGCATATAGAAATGCTGCTGATTGTTGTATGTTGATTTCGTATCCTGAAACTTTACTGAATTCATCAGTTCTGATACTTTTTTGGTGAAGTCTTTATGTTTTTCCAAATATAAGATCATCATATCATCTGCAAACAAGGATAGTTTGACCTTTTTCTTTCCAGTTTGGATGCCCTTTCTTTCTCTTGTCTGATTGCTATAGGTAGGACTTTTAGTACTATGTTTAATATTAATAAGAGTGGTGAAAGTGAGCATTTTTGTCGTGTTCCAGATTTAAGATGGATAGCCTTTTGGTACTAGCTGTGGGTCTGTCATATATAGCTTTTATTATGTTGAGCTGTGTTCCTTCTATACCAAGTTTTTTTGAAGGTTTTTTTTATCCTGAAGGGATGTTAAACTTTATCAAATGCACTTTCAGCAGCAATTGAAGTGATCAAATAGTTTTTGTCCTTTATTCTGTTGATATAATTTGGCATATTGATTGATTTGCATATGTTGAACTATCTTTGCATCCCTGGGATAAATCCCACTTGGTCATGATAAATGATCTTTTTAATATGTTGTTGAAATTTGGTTTGCTAGTCTTTTGTTGAGGATTTTTGCATCAATATTCATTAGATATATTGGGCTGTAGTTTTCTTTTTTTGATATGTCTTTTTCTGGTTTGGTATCAGGTAATACTGGTCTTGTAGAATGAATTTGGAAGTATTCTACTCTATTTTTTGGGAACATATTAGGTCTTCTTTAAATGTTTGGTAGAATTCAGCAGTAAAGCCATCGGGTCCTGGGCTTTTCTTTACCAGGAGACTTTTTATTATGGTTTGGATCTTGTTGCTTGTTATTGGACTGTTTAGGTTTTGGATTTCTTCGTGGTTCAATCTTGGTAGGTTGTATTTGTCTAGGAATTTATCCATTTCTTCTAGATTTTCCAATTTAATAGCCTATAGTTGCTCATTATAGCCACCAATGATCCTCTGAATTTGTGCAGTATCAATTTTAATGTCTACTTTTTCGTCTCTGATTTTATTTACATGAGTCTTCTTTTTCTTAGTCTGGTTAAATGCCAGTTTTATCTTTTCAAAAAACCAACTTTTTGTTTTGTTGATCTTTTATATTGTTTTCTTTATGTCAGATTCATTTATTTCTGCTCTGATTCTTATGATTTCTTCTAGTATTTTAATAGTATTGGGTCTTATGTTTAAGTCTTTAATGCATTTTGAGTTGATTTTTGTATATGGTGAACGAGAGAGGTCTGTTTTCATTCTTCTACATGTGGCTCTCCAATCTTGCCAGAACCATTTATTGAAGATGATATCCCTTCCCCAGTGAAAGTTCTTTGTCAGCTTTGAAGATTTTTTTGGCTGTAAACATGTGGCTTCATTTCTGAGTTCTCTATTCTGTTCCTTTGGTCATGTGTCTTATTTTTATAACAATCCCCTGCTGTTGTGCTTACTATAGCCTTGTAATATATTTTGAAGTCAGGTAATGTGATGCCTCCAGCTTTGTTCTTTTTGCTTAAGATTGCTTTGGCTATTTGCATTGAACCTATAGATTGCTTTGGGCAATATGGTTATTTTAACGATGTTATTCTGATCCATGAGCATGGGATTTTTTGTGTGTCTTCAGTTTCTTTCATCAGTGTTTTGTAGTTTTTCTTGTCAATAAAATTCTTATATAATTTTTAAGATTTTTGGAAAAAACTCCTAAATTTGCCTAGGCTGACTGAGCTGTTTGACCAAAGCATGTTCCTCTGAAGAGAGCCAAGCTGATGGGTTGGGCCTTCTGACTCCACAGACCCATCTTCCCTGCCACTGATAGCTGGTGCAATCTTTTTGTCTCTAATTTATGCTGGGAATGGAATATATACCCAAAACCAGCCATTTTCAGATGTCTTCAACTTAGAACAGCATTATCAGCTGCTTGCTTCATTCCTTGCAAGCCTTACTATGACAGTAATGAGTTTGACGTAACAAGAAGTGGGGTATTTGAAGAGGGTGAGAGTCAACATTGAAGCCTATAGACTCCAAGGAAAACATACAAAGCCTTGGTTTTGGGGCTGAAGCATTCTTAAATATGCTTTTGCTTGAAGCAGTGTATTAGGTATAATACATTGTATTATACAGTGTATAACCATTAGTTATAAAACTAGTTGTATCAGTTATTTGGATATTTGACATTTTTGCTTTGATATAAGAACTGCCTGAAGTTTTCATACTTTTTCTCTTTTTAGATATGTGATTCTGTTGGACTGGCAAAACAGATAGCTTTGCATGCTGAACTGGTAAGAATCCAAGATGTGGCTGGGCACAGTGGCTCACGCCTGCAGTTGCAGCATGTTGGGAGGCTGAGGTGGGCAAATCATTTGAGGTCAGGAGTTTGAGACTAGCCTGGCCAACACGGTGAAACCCCATCTCTACCAAAAACACAAAAATTAGTTGGCCATGGTGGCATGTACCTGTAATCCCAGGTATTGAAGAAGCTGAGGCACAAGAATGACTTGAACCTGGGAGGTGGAGGTTTCAGTGAGCCGAGATCACACCACTGCACTCCAGCCTGGGCATCAGAGCCAGACTCTAATATCTCAAAAAAAAAAAATCGAAAAAGTTCGAGTAAAAAAAAAAAATGCAAGATGCTTGATTTTCCAAAAATGTTAACTAAAATAATATATTAGCTCTTTCATATTAACAAGTAAATAAAATGATTTTGCTAAGCAAGGTTAACAGTGTATGCTATTACCAACATGGCATTTAGAATTTGGATAATTGTTTACCATTGAATGTAAACTGTTGGTGTGCTTTCTTATTTATAAATGCAAAAAAAAACACTGAAAGGTTACAAATGTGGTATTAACTGAAATGTCTAAAATTTAAAGTTATTTCATATTTAATTCATTAGTTTTATTTATCTGTTCTTTAGGATCGTAGGGCATCAGAAAAACAAAAAGAAATAGAGAGAGTAAAAGAGAAGCAACAGAAAGAACTCAGTAAACAAAAACAGATTGAAAAGGTACACAGTCCTAATGTCTGGATCTTTATGTGTTGTTTGTGAAGACCTATTTCAGCACTGTGACTTTTAGATTTGAATTTCCAAATTAAGGGCTATTTCTGCTTATTCAGCCACTTCACAAACAGATGATTCATAGCATAGCAGAAAAGGGTAACATCTGGTTTTTGTTATGATGTTGATATTATAGTTATGTTGACATGTAATACGACTGTTTCACATTTCAGAGGAGGCTGTCTCTGTCAAAGTAGTTCTTTTGAGAGGACTTAATTGCCATTGCTGAAAGCCATTTAATTGCCTTCTATGGGGGGAAATATATATATATATATATATATGTGTGTGGGTATATATATATGTTGTAGATTATATGTAATATATAATGAAATAATATATTTTTAATATTGCCAGGAATGTCAAATCATTGTCCATCCAACAGGATAATTTTAAAAGACAAATTTCAGAGCAAAACTCGAAGGATGTATTAGATAAATGATTTATGAGACTGTAAGAGCATGTTATGGGTTGTAGCACTCACAGAAGGAAAAGAGGAGACAGCTGGGATACTTACTAAGAACAGATCAGTAAGCACTGGCTGTGGGCTGGCCATCTGGACAAAAAAGAGGGAAGTGGCAAAGATGACACTGAAGTGAGGCTTTCCTGATAGCCTAGGCTGAGGGAAGGTGAAAACTGATTTAGCAAGATGAATTGGACAGAGATGGAGAAAAGGGCTGGAGAGGGGAAGGGAAAGGAGTGTGGGGTGATCCCTTATAAGGGTTTCTTTCTATAATGTATAGTAAGAGATGATGATGGCTTTATTTGGTTGTTGGTTGTAAAAAGAGAAAAAGAAAACATTAGATTTTAGTTTGAATGTTGGCTTTTACAGGATGGTGCCAAAATTCATTTTGATATTGTTTGCATATAGCTTTTCTTTTTATCAAGTTGTCAAAAGTATGTGTATGTATTTATGGCAGAAGAATTGAAGTGGCTCTAAGAATGTATCTTGACTGCAGGCAAGTAACTTAGTTTCTTTTTTGTTTTTTTTCACTAGGACTTGGAAGAACAAAGTCGGTTGATAGCTGCTTCCAGTAGACCAAACCAAGCCAGTAGTGAGGGGCAGTTTGTTGTCCTTAGCAGTAGCCAGTCAGAAGAGAGTGATTTGGGAGAAGAAGGAAAGAAGAGAGAGTCAGAAGCATAAACTTACACTTTTTGATAGATACTTCCCCTTTGGAATTTGACAGTTTCTGTGGTGAAATGGCACAAGGTAACAACTATGTTGAAATATCAAGGGGGAAACTAAGCTTTATATTTGCTTATTTGTTGTAGCTACATTTAAAAAAAAGGATTGAAGTTGATGACTTAGGTTTGCATTGATCTTTTTTCCCCCCTTAAACATAATGTACTATGCATTAACATCTAAAGGAAACCTGCTCATCTCCCTGAAGTAGATTGCTGAGGAATTTGCTTAAGAATTTTTTCCTTCAAATTGTGAACTTTTGAATCTTGCATTGTAATTGGCTATGAAAAATCATTTATTCTTCAGGCTTAGACATTCATGGTTATGGTCCTTTTCTTTCATTAGGAAAATTTTGCTGGCAATGAGGAAGCATTTAGCTGAAAAAGTTTAAAGCCCTTTATACAGAGAATTCTACAAGTTTGCAAATATTTTAACAATATTAATGTGCAATAGAACTTTTATAATTAGAACAGAGATTTTACACTTAAGGTTTCAAATTGTGGTAGGTGGTACTGTTGATCTCAGGGCCACTTTCTGGGATTGCTCACATTTCTCTAATGTACTGCACCTGATGCCAGTAGAAAGAAGCTTAAGTGTCTTCAGTTTAAGATTGATAGAGCCGGCCGGGCGCGGTGGCTCAAGCCTGTAATCCCAGCACTTTGGGAGGCCGAGGCGGGTGGATCACGAGGTCAAGAGATCAAGACTATCCTGGTCAACATGGTGAAACCCCGTCTCTACTAAAAATACAAAAAATTAGCTGGGCATGGTTGTGTGTGCCTGTAATCCCAGCTACTCAGGAGGCTGAGGCAGGAGAATTGCCTGAACCCAGGAGGCGGAGGTTGCGGGGAGCCGAGATCGCGCCATTGCACTCCAGCCTGGGTAACATGAGTGAAACTCCATCTCAAAAAAAAGATTGATAGAGCCCTTGGCATTTTATTATCATATTCTTAGTTCTCAGGTTGGGACTACAATTACTGCTGCAGAGCAGTAGTGGTTAAAAATAAGATACTGGAATTTATTAAAAGATTTTTGTTGTTGTTCAGATACATTTTAGATTAGGAATGACAAGTAAAGACATTGCTATGGAGTGATACATTGTATTTTCTGCATTGTGTGAAATAGTTTTTACTGAAAGTGACATTTCAAAAGAAGTTCTATAACAGTTATGTTTCATGCTTAAAGTAAAAATTACCAGAGTTTAGTTTAGAAAATGTAATCTTATAAATTTCAGACTTATATTCCCAGTATTTTCATAATCCCATGTTTTGATAAAGTACTGAATCACCACTTTATATCCACAAAGGCAAATAACTAATGTATGATAATAATTTGCACTAATTATTGTAAATATGTCTACTCTTCAAATGAGTAAAAGGTCCAGAAAGATTGAAAAGGAACTGAATGCCTAGGATAGTATAAGAGAAGTTGACTAAGGAAGGATTTAACCTGGTGCCAAGGTTAAAATAACTTTTCCCTGCTGCCTATGTTAAACCTACTGTCTATGTTAAACCATAATTTTTCTGTAAACACATTTTTAACATTGCTAATAGAAATAATGTTTTCATGTGTCTCACATGAAAAAGTACATATATATACACACACACATATATACACAATATAGTGAGTAAAACATTTTACATAGTCACACATTTACCAGTTTTTCAAGAGGTTAGCCACTAAGACTAATAATTTTACAAGGGAACCCCTCCTTTTTTTTTTTCTTTGATATACAGTTTTTTCTTCTTAGTTCTGCATTAGAAATGGCATCTGTTTTAGGTCTCAAAATATAACTCGGTTGTTTCACACTGTATATGTACATTGCTTTCTATAAGAATAGGATAGATGATATATAGGCTCATGATATTCCTTTTATCCATGTGCCAAATGGGTGTAATGTTTATTTACTGACACCTTATGTTACCAAAACATACAGTAAAAAAAGTAGAAATTTATGAAGTACTTTTTGATGAAAAGTTTATTTTGTGCTTACCAAAGGGAATGCTTTCACAATAGTGTATCAATTGTTTTGTTGAAGTTGGAATTTCTTCTGTTGCCAGCACTTTCATGGCAAGTCTTGTTTTTAAGACCTTTGGAGACTAGAGCTTTCTGTTGGGTTAAGTACTACAAATTGTCACTTCATTTAGTTCAGATGAAGTCTGTTACTCTACATGGAAGGTGGTCATCAGTAGGAGGGAGCTTTACTAAGCTGGTGCTTTGCATGGTAGCAAGTGCTGCCCTTTATCAGCACCCTGGGTCATAGTGTAGGCTAGAGTTAAGGGCACTGGTAGACTTAGGGATGCTGGACAGACTTGTAGTTCGTTTTATGTTCACAGGAATTTCTACAATAATGTACCCATGTCCATAGGTCAGATCAAAGTGCATTCCAATGCTAAATAGAAGTTATGAATGGGTTTAACAATTTTAGATGATTCAACTTCTGTTCCATTACTTACTATTGAACAATATGAACTATTCCATTACTGCAGAGATTTAAGTGTTCGTTTTTATAAGCTTTTTGTTATTTAAAGGCTGCCCATGGGTTTCTGCCTAGTGGTAAAGCTGATTGTTATCCTTTGAAATCCCTTCTAGATCTTGAGATGCTTGGAAAGTAATTGGATTAGATTTTGCATATCTTTTCTCACATTGAGTTAATGTTTTTAGAAATCACCAAAACTGTTTTTTTAAAAGAAAAGATATTAAGCTTGCCTACTTCTACAATGCATTCTGTTACTTAAATGAACAGTACATTTGTAACTATGGCAATGAAGTCAGTAGTTAGGAAACCAGTTATTCCTTCTAACTTTAAAAATTTTGAAAACTTGCTAAGAGAATAAAACTGTTAATTTAAATAGAGTGCCAGCCAAGCACAGAGGTGCACACCTGTAATCCTAGCACTTTGGGAGGCTGAGGCAGGTGGATCATGAGGTCAGGAGTTCAAGACCAGCCTGGCCAAGATGGTGAAACCATGTCTCTACTAAAAATACAAAAAATTAGCCAGGCATGGTGGTGGGCGCCTGTAATCCCAACTACTCGAGAGGCTGAGGCAGAGAATTGCTTGAACCGGGGAGGCGGAGGTAGTGAGCCGAGATCACGCCATTGCACACTAGCCTGGGTGACAGAGTGAGACTTCATCATCTCAAAAAAAAAAAAAAAAAAAGAGTCCCTAAAGCTAGTCTAGTTTTTGCCACATCTGCAATGATTATTTTCAAAAGAATCCTCAGGCTCCACAATCTAGGAGCATTCTAGGCATGACAAAATCCCATATGGTAACGGCATCTGAATTAACTTTGCATTATATTTAAGAACCATAGTATTTAAAATTTGAATCCTATTATTAATGCTGAGAGATCCTAAGAGCTAGTATATTGTAAAACCTGCCACCTGAATAAAATGAAAATATTAATGTTGGTTTTCAACCTCTTAGCATTCAGATTGTATTTTAAATATTTAAACATACCAATTGTAGCAAATAACCCTTTATTTTTAGCAAATTTGGTTTACTCTTCTCCCATGAGATTGTTTTTCTATGTTAATTAGTAATACATAAAGATTTGAAACTGGAACTATATTATACTTTTTAACCAATCTCTGTGGCTTCACTCATACGAAATTTACTTCAGTTAATATGAGACTGGGGATTAAGTTGTAACTAATGTGCAAAATTGCTTTGTATATTTGGTGATTTTATAATGTAAGTGAACTGGTTAATTTTTATTTCACTGATAGTATTAATCATGCAGTGTACAATTTAAAATCATGCAATGTTTCACTTTAGAATTGGATTTGAAGAACTCAACTTTTTGTGATCATGGCATACATGTGGGGTGGAGAACTTATTTTTTCATTTTGTCACAATAGGTATTTACTGACAAGGCTTCAGGAAAAAAGTTGTTAGAAGATTTTTTAATGTATAATAAAGTCCATGATTTTTGTACAGTGTTTTTTGTATGAAATATTTGATACTCTGAACTTATTTCTCAAAGTAATTTCAGATGTTTGTAAAACAGTTGGACATCTTAATCTGTTACAACACTGTAAATTATACATCTAGCCCAACTACAATTCCATAGCAGCTAAAATGAAAAAAAAAATTGTCACTTTATTAGGAAAAGTTTGTTACAGAAGCAAACTAATCCATCACTGGTGACTTTTTCTTTTAGCAAAGGAAAAAGACTTCTTCATTAATTGATGTATACTTCCTACTGTTGGGTCCTACTCACAGAAATTCCCCTTATTTAAAGGGGCAGGTTATTGTGTATACCAGTACAGTTTGTATCTATAATTTTTAATACTAATGCATATTCATTCCATGTGCTCTCTCTAGTTTTTTAGGGCAATTAGTTCTTCTGGGATTTAATGTTTTATTTTGAATTTTATAGAAATTTATATACACCTTTAGAAGGTATAGGGGCTAGATGAAATTAACTTTAGAATTATATAATTTATCTAAGTGCATGTATAGTGTAAATATATTTCTATATTGAAAGATACATAATCTCACTTATCAGTTTGATTTTAAAAAATAACTTCATGTCAGCTGTATAAATTTTTTAATGTAAAAAACTATAAAAATAATTTGAAGTCTGTGCTTACTGAGTCTACATAGCCATTAATCCCTACACCAGAAAAAAATTATATAGCTTCAGTTTCCCTAAAATGGACTATCTAATTCTTTTAAAAAGTACCAAGACTATAGGCATGTAAACATCAAGGCTATAGCCGACTGGGCTGTAGTGAAAATGGACATTATCATTTTACCTGTTATCCCTGTTGATATGGCTTCTAAATGTGGCTCAAGTGTGGTGGAATGAATGTCTTTTTCAGTTCTTTCCTCACTTTCCACACATAGAAATGTATACTTACATGCAGGTCTGGCACAGTGGCTCATGCCTGTAATCCCAGCACTTTGGGAGGCCAAGGCAGGCAAATCACTTGAGGTCAGGAGTTCGAGACAGCCTGACCAACATAGTGAAACCCCATCTCTACTAAAAATACAAAAATTAGCTGGGTATGGTGGCACACACTTGTAATTCCAGCTACTTGAGAGGCTGAGACATGAGAATCACTGGAACCCAGGAGGCAGAGGTTGCAGTGAGCCAAGATTTCGCCACTGCACTCCAGCCTGGGCAATAGGTTTCTCAGAAAAAGAAACCTATACTTACATGCAGTATGAAATATATAGAAATAAAAATCTGCCATCAGTGAGCCCCTTCATGTTCATTATCAGGCTTGGTTCAACACAGAGACCATAAGCCATCGTTCATTTGAAAACACTTGTAATTCCAATTCCAGTGATCACATGAACCAGTAAATGGTCAGCCATAGCCAGGGTTTTTTGGAAAGAAGGGACACACGTTTCTCATTAATAATGAAATTTGAATTGAGGGTTCTGTTTCAATTAACTGAATTACCCTACCTCTGTACTTGACTCTACAAAGAAACGGTAATAGACACTAAGCTGGTATTGGGACTTTTACACAAGAACAGCCAACTTCTAAGTCATGTACTAGGGTCAGTATGTATTCAGTTCAATCACTATGATGTACAGTAGGTCTCCTTATCCATGGTTTCCCTGTGTGGTTTCAGTTACTAATGGTCCAAAACTATTAAAAGGAGGCCAGGTGTGGTTACTCACACCTGTAATTCCAGTACTTTGGGAGGCTGAGGTGGGTGGATCACCTGAGGTCAGGCATTCGAGACCAGCCTGGCCAATATGGTGAAACCCCCGTCTCTACTAAAAATACAGAAATTAGCCAGACATGGTGGCACACACCTGTAATACCAGCTACTCGGGAGGCAGAGGTACGAGAATCACTTGAACCCGGGAGGCAGAGATTGCAGTCAGCTGAGATTGTGCCACGGCACTCAAGCCTGGGTGACAGAGCAAGACTCCATCTCAAAAAAAAAAAAAAGTATTAAAAAGAAAATTTCAGAGATAAATAATTTATGAGTTTTAAATTGTACACCATTCTGAGTAACATGATGAAGTCTCTCACCATCCCACCTTGTCCCGCCTGGGACCTGAATCATCCATCTGTCCAGTGTATTTGCACTGTAGGGCATGTGTGTACAGTTGTATGTCGCTTAACAACTGGCTTAAAGATGGGGATACCTACTGAGAGATGTGTTGTTAGGTGATTTGTCATTGTGCTAACATCATAAAGCCACCTACACAAATCTAGATGGGATGGTATACTACACATCTAGACCATGTGGTATACAGCGTATTGCTCCTGGGCTACAAATCTGTACAGCATGTTACTGTACTGAATAGGCAGTTATAACATATGGTAAGTATGTACGTAAACATAGAAAAGGTACAGTAAAAATACAGCATTATAATCTTATGGGACCACCATCACATATGTGGTCCACTGATGACTGAAACATTGTTCAACCACAGTAGCTGTATAGGAAGAAACACAATATATATAGGAAAAACATAGTATGTATAGGGATCTGTACTATCCCCCTTTTCAGGCATCCACTGAGGGTCTTGGAACATATCCTCAGAAGATAAGGAAGACTATTACATATATACTTCTCTATAAAAAAGACACTGTAATAGTTATCTTGACTTGTCAGAAGTGCCATCTATTATTTTGAGCACATAGACATTGGATTTGTGCACTTAATGTAAGATCAATACGGAATTAGAACTAGTATATTTCAGTTAATCGAAATTTTTACTATTTGGGTTTTATTTTTTTTAACTGCCTTGAGAGTGCTAGTCATTTATATGTTGAGAGGCTATGTTCAAAGCTACTTTTTAAGCAAATTTTCTTTTAGAGATGTCTTGCTCTGGTCACCCAGGCTGGAATGCAGAGGTGTGATCACAGCTCACTGCCACCTTGACCTCCCATTGCTGCTCAAGCAATCCTCCTGCCTCAGCCTCCTAAGCAGAGGTACTTTTTAAAGGACTTAGACTGCATTGAGATTTTAGTTGGCAGGTAAAAAATATGAATCATACGTAAATATGAAGCAAAAAATATGAATCATACCTAAGTCAAATTTTAAGGAATACAGCTGCAGAATTATACCTTTTCCATTAGAATCGTTTGATTACCAGGTTCCTGTAAAAATTCCTTGTCCATAAAGGTCGTATTCTTCATAAAGGACATAAGCTTTTAGACGATTAGGTAATGGAAGAAATGACATGAAGACAGGGCAGCGCAAATGTAAACGTCCCATGCACTTCCGGATCTTTAGGCGACACAAGTGTTTTAGGGAGCGAGGGTTTGCTAAAAGGAAAAGGCACATTATCCAAAGAAAAAAATAACTTATTTTTTTAGTATCTTAGGGTTTTGTTAGCAAATGTATTTGATAGCATTTCATTTCCTGTGACTAAATGGCGAAGTCAATAGGGAAACAATTTTTCATTTCTCATTGTAATCCTTGTAGATATGGTTCCAGTGCCATGTCAAATAAGAGTCCAAAGACTGGCATCAATTGTAGATCTGGCCTGTGAGATCTAAAGTTCTTAAATCTGCATGTGTCTGGGTGTGGTAGCTCACGCCTGTAATCCCAGCACTCTGGGAGGCCAAGGCGGGTGGATCACTTGAGGTCAGGAGTTCAAGACCAGCTTGGCCAACATGGTGAAACCCCATCTCTACTAAAAATACAAAAATTAGCTGGGTGCGATGCCCGCATGCCTATAGTGCCAGCTACTTGGGAGGCTGAGGCAGGAGAATCATTTGAACCCAGGAGGCAGAAGTTACAGTGAGCTGTGATTGTGCCACTGTACTCCAGCCTGGTTGACACAGCGAGACTCTGTCTCCAAAAAAAATCTGCATGTGTTAGCCCCCCCGGGGACAGGCTAGAAACTGAAGATTACCACCCAAGGGGAAATAACATGAAATAAATTATTAATTTATCTTATGTGCTACTTTGAAAGAATTTGGTTTGAAGAAGGTCATTTGATACCCTCTACAGACAGAGCTCTTAGCTTTTTCTTATCCTTGTTTTTATTGTCATATCATAGCTTTTCATTCCTGTGTCATAGTGTTCTTTCGTAACCATGGTTACCTATATAATAAGTAGTTATCTAACAGATTTTATCTCCTTGGAAAAGGTAATAAATACAAATTAAGTGTAGCTAGTAACATTTTTAAAGATAGGAAGAGTATTTTTCTGGTTTAAGTCAAGCTTTTAACCGGAAGAGAAGGGTGTTCTAATTCTAAAACAACCAAATAAGAATACAATTAGCATTTTTGTAAAAAGTCTTCTACAAGAAGGATACTCACTTAAGATAAAATGTATTTCTGACCAGATCCCCTGTTTTTGGAGCACAGCTTTCAACTTTGAACAGATCCGAACTTGATCAACATAATCAAGCATCACTCGAACAACCTTTCCAGAGAGATGTTGCAGCCATGACAAAGTTATTACTTCACAGAACTGAGGGAAACGAAGTCAGAATTATAAAAGTTAATGAGAAACATTCATCTGTGGTTTAGCATAGTAGTCAAAGGAGATGTGGTGTGATGAAAGCCAAGAGAGAAAAATGGCTCAAAAACGGAGGGATAATAGTGGTCAACTGTACTTATTCTGATTCATTTTTCATCAGAAATGTCATCAAAAGAAATCATTTAATCAGTTGCTTCATTTGTGAAACTTCCTCACACTGCTAGGCAGAGTTAAATCACTTTTATCTCTGTACTGTTTCTGTTCCTTTTACATCTTTCTACTATTGTGTTTGTTTTTATCATTATTATTTTATCATATATTTATTATACTAGGATCTCTTCAACCAACTTTTGGAGGGAATGGATGTAGTCTATGTATTGCCATAGTTCCAGGGCCACAAATAATGACTGTAAGGGAATATAGCCAATACTGTGGACTTACCTTAGTATCTTTGATAACTGTAGATGTCCAGCCTTCAGAAGTATAGGAAGGATGGACTTTGTCCCCATGAGGGCAATCAAAACATCGCTCTGTGTCATACCCATAGTTCAGCAGCATCCTGAGCATGACTTCATCTTTCAGTGTGTATTGCAGTGCCGATGGGAAATGTAAAGGGTTAACTCTGCAGAAGTAATTCACATTGGCCCCATGCCTTAGCAGCAGACTGATCAGCTCGTAGTTGCCCATCCTGAGGGCTATCTGGAGGCAGTTAACCGGGTCTTGATTAGGCAGAGCTCCAGCACCCAGAAGCAGCTTGACTGAAGAGAGGTCACTGTTTGATACAGCAAAATACAAAGCTGATTTCCTGTGGTCATCATAGTGTTTGCGAATTCTCTGATCCAACATGAAGTTCACATCAAATCCAGCCTGGATGAGGAGCTCCAGGCACTGAGGGTGTGCTCCTGCTGCTGCGCAGTGAACTGGACTGATGCCACTTTGCTTAATGGCAGCAAGATCCGTAACTGGAATCAGTATCTTTAGAGCTCTGAGAAAGAATTTCAAAATGGATTTCAACATTGTTTTTAAGATGTAGCACTAACTTTATTATTGTTTTATATTAATACTAGATAGTGTCAATATTCAGATGGCACATTTAGAACCCCAAACCAAAAATAAAAGCATAATTCCTTCATCCAGAAGCTCAGATACCAAGTAAAAGTGAATGGAATTACTGTCTAGGCTATAAAACTCAGAATTAGCCCAGAGACCTGAGGCTTCCCATACAGTATTGCCTAAGTACCTGAGAAAAAAAGTTTCATATCTCTTTGGTGGCTTCAGAGGATGCCTGGTAAAGCCATTTCTAGCTCTTTCTAGCTGAAAAGAGTTTCATCTTTAAAAGGTACGTTTAGGTTGTGGGATCAGTGATAAAGATAATAAAGTTCTTAGAAGCAGCTCAAAAGGTAGTTATTACTATTTTTATTATGTGCAATAATGTAATTGAACTTACAGTAAGTGGCCCCTGTCAGCTGCCACATGGATGGGCAGGTGACCTGAATTCTTAGGGATGTTGGCATCAGTTCCATACTCCAGCAAGAGCGCCACAGCATCAGGATTTCCTCCACTTGCAGCTTCAAGTAAGATGGAAGAACAATCAGAGGCCTGACCATGAGCGTTAGCTCCTAATAGGAGAAAGACTCTTGTTAATGGAAAAAATATTTTCCACTGTATTTAAGCAATTTAAAAAAAATATTATCATCACCAAAAAGCAATTAGTGAGTATGGACTCTAGCAAAGCACCAAGAATCAAAGAAACAAAATATATACCACCTGCTCTCAAGCAGCTTATAAACTAGTTGGGGAAGAAAAAAAATGGCAGTTTCTAAACTGTAAGTAGGTTGGTTTTTGAAGTAATTTGATATTTGTTTGTTTGGAACTTGAAAATTCCAATAGAAATACTGTTAGAAAAGTTGCCTTTATTTCTAGACCAGCCTGTAAAAGCCCACTTAACTTAAAACACATACAGGATGGTACTAACAAATCTATTGAAATGTAACATCATTCCATCTAATGATACCGTTTTGGTGAAAAAGGGCATTTGTTCTGTTTTAGTTTGTTCGTAGCAGACCATAGTAAGAGACATTGTAATTGTTTTAAATTGAAGTTAGGAACTGTGAATAGCCAAAGAGATAAGTTGTAGCACAGTTATCGGTACAGATTATCCTTTATCCAAAATGCTTGGGACCAGTGTTTCAGATTTCAGAGTAAAAAAATATATATTTGCATTATACTTACAAGTCCCAAATCCAGAAATTCAAAATCTGAAATGCTCCAGTGGGAATTTATTTTGAGCATCATGTTGGTGCTCAAAAAGTTTCAGATTTTGGATTTCAGATTAAGAATGCTTAACCTAAACCCTGTACACTAAGTGTTTTGTGAGTTGTGTGAATAATAAGTGTACAGGTACAGGCAAAAGGTCTTCTAGAAGATCTAGGGCTCGGGTTGTGAGGGGAGCTGGGAGATGAAGGAGAAAAGAGTTTGGGTCAGTTGTATAAGGCTTCTCAATAAAACAGGCTCTGAAGAAAGATGGACAAAAGTTGAGGAGAGCATTCTGAAGCTCATATGAAAAAAGGTGTAATGACTTTAACACAGACTCCATAAGAGTCATCAGGGTACAGTGGCTGCCTTAAGAAGTCTGATAGGCCTGTTTATTGAGTGCCCACTATGTCCTGGTTCCTTCATGTGTATAATAATTTTTAAACTTAACAACAATGCTCAGCAGTAGGTGCTAACAGACTCATTTTAAAGATGTAGAAACTCACTGAGTTTAAGTGACTTCCCCAGAGATGCACAGCTAGTAAGCAAGGTAGTCAGGATTCATACACAGGTATTCTAGACCCAGGGCTTATGTCTATGACGCCATATTGCCACTCTAGCAGTGTGATTTGCTAGAGTGGCAACATGATTTGCAGGGTGGTAATGTGATTTGGAGTCAGACAGATGTACCTTGAAATGCTGGCTCTGTCATTTACTATATATGTCACTTGGTGCAAATTACTGTGTAAGGGAGTCACTTAAAGGAAATGCTCACTCACTGAGGTCAGCTGATGCTGGTTTCTTTGAAGGGTAAGGGCTTTAACATCTGTTACCTCTCCTCTTTCTCTGTATTTTAATCAGTGATCTATACAAAAGGTTACTCTTTCCTCAAAGATGAAATATCCCAATCTTTTGTTACTCTAGCTAATGACTTTAGACATTTCTTATATTGATCATTTAAACATCTTACTTAAAATGTCTTATGGCCATTGATTAGAACCTAGCCTCCCCTGTATACCAGAGGAAAGATTTAGATATGTCTGAAAAGCAAAGGTGGGGCGCAGTGGCTCACGCCTGTAATCCCAACACTTTGGGAGGCCGAGGCAGGTGAATCACGAGGTCAGGAAATTGAGATCATCCTGGCTAACACGGTGAAACCCTGTCTCTACTGAAAATGCAAAAAATTAGCTGGGTGTGGTGGTACGTGCCTGTAGTACCAGCTACTCGGGAGGCTGAGACAGGAGAATTGCTTGAACCCAGGAGGAGGAGGTTGCAGTGAGCCGAGATCGCGCCATTGCATGCCAGCCTGGGCAACAGAGCAAGACGGTCTCAAAAAGAAAGAAAGCACAAGGCTGTTCTTAACATAGGAGTCTCTGCCATCTAGAATACTGGAGACCATGGCCACGTATGGTTAAAGAACAAATAAGACTTCTAGACATAGGGAAGAGAATAAAGAAGATAATTCTATTATTGAGACTTTAAAAAATCTTGGTAAAAGTTTGCTTTGAAAAAAAGCTTTAATTGATTGTACCTTGCTTCATCTAAGAGTATCACCAATGGAGCTCTCCTCAAAGACAGTAAAGGCCAAAGTTCTCTGAGCCAAAGGTCCCTGCCAGTTAAGTCAGGGTTCAAAATGGCCACAGCTACAGAGCTGAGGATGGGGTGGGAGCATGTTCGAAGGGAAGTCCTGCCACTGGCACCATCGCTGACCCACAGTTTCCTCAAGTACAAAACGAGGATAATACCCACCTCATAAGAGTTTTTAAAGGGTTATGAGGCAATATGGGTAGTTTAATCCTTGTTGTTTAGACAGTACTCAATAAATTGAAGCTGCTTTCCCCGTGTCTTGGAGTTTGGGTTGTTACTAGAGTGAAGAGCTGAGACCCAAAGAGAAGAAATCAGGAAGAATTTCCTAACATCTAAAGCCATTTGATAACTGAATAAACTGCCTCATGATTTAGGCTTAGGTGAAGGTAACGTGTAGAGGGTGTTGCAGGGTCTTTGACTATGATTCTAGAAAAGGACAACAACACAAAAAATTTAAAAAAAACCACCACCCTCTTAGCACAGTGAAGGAATGTTAAGTAAAAGTAATCTGCATCCACTTTGGGGAAATTATGTCATACCTAATAAAAAAAATTAGTCTTTATGTTAGGCTTCTCAGTAATCACTATCAACCTATAATTTTTATCAAACATTTATATTTGGCTTAAATAAAATGTTAGTTTTTATTATTTTGAAGCTCTCCATTAAGAGGAGAACACCTGGATCCTGGTACCCTTTGTTATTGTGCTGACCCTAACAGAAGATCTTGCCTTTCCGCAGTAACATTTCCATGATTTCAGTGTGTCCACTTTGGGCAGCAAGAGCAAGAGGAGTGAATCCATACGTGCTCCGTGGGTCAGGGTGTGCCCCAGAAACCAGCAGAAGCTTCACCATGTCCTCTCTGCCCAGTTTGGCTGCTTCGTGAAGAGCTGTCCTCTCGTTGGCACAACGCAGATTGACATCTGCTCCATAGTTGATCAGCAAGGCAGCTGTGTCGTAGGAGTCACGCAGCACAGCTGGGAAATGAGAAGTGAGGTGGGTGTGTTCAACAGGAAGTTAAGAGCAGAGTAGCATATCTGCAAGTGTCCCTCGGGCTTTCTCAAGTTCTTCCCACTGACTCCCAGACCCCAGCATTCTGTGTTTAGGAAACAGATTGTAAAGTAAGGCCTCTGTCAAATAATATTGAGAGTGGTTTTTTTTACATCAACAGACTATTTGTTTTTCTGTAAGCCATGAGTAATTATTCATTGTCTGCCTGTGTGGACAATTATTGTCTGCTTATGTGGTTGAAACACAATTCTAAATTTTTCACTTACCTTTATTTTTCAAGAAAATGGGAACTTAAGTATTCAGTTACAAACAGTCCTGGAAATGTTTGTAACTGCTTTAAAATAAGAAAAAGCAAGACAGCCCAGCCTCTGAAATGTGCCAAAAATAAAAAATTTAAAAAGCAACAGAACCTACCCCAGAAAATGAATGACTAAAACGCAATTTAAATATGCATGTCTGGTGGGAGTGGTTGAGGCCATAGAAAATGATCGTTTTGCCTATCACTTCTGCATAACACACTTTGGCAACACACCAAAGTTTGTTATGCAGAAAGCCCCTTAAGGTTCTGTAAAGAAAATAATTTTGTAGTTTAAAAAATACCAATAAAAGGCTTGAGAACACTGTGTGTGTGTGTATATGTGTCTGTGTGTGTAATAGATATATTTAGAGTCTCTGTCATCCAGGCTGAAGTGCAGTGGTACAATCATAGCTCCCTGCAGACTTGAACTCCTGGGCTCAGGCAATCCTCCTGCCTTAGCCTCCCAAGAAGCTGGGTCTACAGGCATGTGCCACCATGCCTGGCTAATTTCTTTAAAAATTTCTGTAGAGATGCAGCCTTGCTATGTTGCCCAGACTGGTCTCAAACTCCTGGGTTCAAGTGATCTTCCTGCCTCAGCCTCTCAAAGACTAGGATTACTGGCATGAACCACTGATCTCAGCCAGCACTGTATATTCTATCACCCTCTTCAAGATTCACTTTGCACATTGGTATATTGAAGTCTCTGAGAAATCTTGCAATGCATTTGCTTAACTTTTTAACCCAGCATTTTCCGTGACCTATCAATGGGAACATGCTGTTTAGGTGCCACAGAAATGGAATCATTTGACCTGTCAGGCCAAAGTGAAGAAAGGAAAACTAGCTCCACCATCATTGTTACAACACACTTTACAGCTTCATGTTTTTACATGTGTGATTTTTCTACACACAAGACAAATGCTATCTTACAGACAAGGAAACAGAGAGGTTAAATGTGACCCAGAGTTATTTTTACCCTGCAGTGCTAGAGTACTTTATGATTTATGCATGCTTTGTCAGAGAAGGCTCTTCTGCTTAGTCTACAAAATGCAGAGTCTTAGAAAGCATCTGGGGACAAACCATGAAGGGACCCCTATCCTAATTTTTGGCAGTACTCTGTCGTTCTCTTTTTAATTTTCAGTGTTTTTTTGTTTGTTTGTTTGTTTGAGATGGCGTCTTGCACTGTCACCCAGGCTGGTGTGCAGTGGTGCGATCTTGGCTCACTGCAACCTCCGCCTCCCAGGTTCAAGTGATTCTCCTGCCTCCACCTCTGGAGTAGCTGGGATTACAGGCATGCCCTGCCACGCCCAGCTAAGTTTTGTATTTTTAGTAGAGACAGGGTTTCACCATGTTGGTCAGGCTGGTCTCAAACTCCTGATCTCAGGTGATCCACCCGCCATGGCCTCCCAAAGTGCTGGGATTACAGCTGTGAGCCACTGCACCCAGCCTCATTTTCAGTTTTAAATTTGCTAAAAGTTATCCATGTACAGAATTTAAAAAGCTAATTACTGTGAAGTCCATCACCCTTTTCCTACATTCTTTCTCCTTCCCCAGAGGCATCCTTTGGCTGATTCTTTGCTCTTCATGGCTGTATCTCTAACCTGCTTGTATTGCTACTTACTGATTTTTGGTTTGGGGATAATTTAATGACTTACCATGGAAAATGAGAATTTAACGTTTTTTTCCGCCTATCCTCACCACATGTGCACGTTTCTCCGCTCACCATCCACCATCATTGGAGGTGGATGTGTGTGTGTGTGTATGGCTAGGCTGGTCTTGAACTCTTGACCTCAGGTGATCCACCTGTCTCAGCCTCCCAAACTACTGGGATTACAGGCGAGAGCCACCGCGCCCGGCCCATCCGGATATTTTTATAGCATAATTTTTGTTAAATAAATATTCAATATTTATCTTAATGTATGCCATTCAAAAGTGGACCGTATTTACATTTCCTTTTCTGCATATCTTTTTGTTTTCCCTAGAGTTAATACTTAACGTGTCATTTGCTTAGTTTTCAATTTATCATTAATTCCACCCCAAACTCTAAACTGTCCACATCTCCCTTCAGGATGCCATTCCTAGCCATCCGTGGCCTTCAAGAAGCCTCTACCTGGGGCCTCCTGACTTGCTTCAGTCGGGACCTCAGTGCCTAGTAATGTGCAGTCATCCTAACACCGTTATTCCCCTCGTCTTGGGGACTTCATTTGCCTCCCGCCTTCCATGGATCTTCTGTTTCCTGGATCCCAAGCTTCTGTTTTTCTACTTTACTCCCATGTTGGTAGAACATTTGCTCTGTTAGCTTCCTAACAGCAGGGAGAGAGGAAGTTTTTTTGAGATTTCCTAGATCTGAAAATATCTTTTATGTCTCTGTCAGATATTTTTTTTTTTTGAGAGTTTGAGCAAATGAAGAATTTTAAGTTGGAAATTTTTTCCTCAGAATTTGTAAAACTATTATTTACTACCAATTACTTCAAGCTTCCAGTTACCATGGAGATGTCTGAAACCACTCTGATTTTTCATCTTTTGTGTATTACATATTCCTTTTTTTTCTCTCAGGAGGTTTGGGGAAACTTCTCTGTTCCTAGTGACTTGTCTTTTTTTTTTTTTTCCCAGCTCTTTATGATTTTTTATTACAATGTAAAAGAGGTTATGCTCAAAACTTAAGAGTATATAAGTAGAAAAGAAAAAAACACCCATAATTCCACCTCTGAGATGATTTTTTTTTTCCTGAGATGGAGTTTTGCTCTTGTTGCCCAGGCTGGAGTGCAGTGGCTCAATCTCAACTCACTGCAACCTCCGCCTCCTGGGTTCAAGTGATTCTCCTGCCTCAGCCTCCTGAGTAGCTGGGATTATAGGCATGTGCCACCACACTGGCTAATTTTTTATTATTAGTAGAGATGGGGTTTCACCACATTGGTCACACTGGTCTTGAACTCCTGACCTCAGGTGATCCACCTGCCTCAGCCTCCCAAAGTGCTGGAATTACAGGCGTGAGCCACCGTGCCTGGCCGAGATGATTTTTGTTAGCATTTTCACATGTATCCTTGAATTCTTTATTTCTACATATGTTAAATTTTAAATAACTTTTTGTTACACAAAATTCTCTAATAACTGGCTGTTCTGCATTTATACTGTTAATTCATATTTGGAGGAGGATCCTTAGACCCTCAAGATCCTAGAACACCTAACTTTACCCATTTCATTATCCATTCATTAATTATTGGCACTAAATGTGTACAAGGAGTCTTGCTAGCTGCTGAGATGCTGAATCAGTATGAATTCTGCTAATAGCCATTTATAATTTGCCACAGAAAGTGCTCTCATTGCTCTAAAACTAGAAACAAAGTGCTGAGGGTGTTGTGTCTCTTAAGGTTCACTGAGCTGCCACTTGGTGTGCCCCTTAATTCTGGAAATACTTGTCCTTCATTTTAGGAAATCATTTTCTTGACTTACTGCATTGGTGATACACCGCCTCCATCTTGTCTGTTCTCTCTCTCATTCCCCTTATTCACATGCTGCTCCTCTTGGATCATCTAGCTAATTTCACTTCTTTCCTATTTTCCATGCCTTATTTTCTTCTTCTGGAAGCTTTCCTAAACTCCATCTTCCAGCATTGTTTTTAAAATTTCTGCTCATATTTTAATTTTCAGTATTTTCTGATTTTTTTGCTAACATCTTGTTCTTATTAAAATGGTTTCTCTGAGGAAGTTAATGATAATTTCCCTTTAAGTTTTATTTCCCTAAGTAATCTTAAAGTTGCTTAACTCTTTGTTGAAGATTTTCCTCAGGTAGCCTTTGGCTATTTGCTCATAATTAAAAGTTGGAGACTAAAAAGCTGGTTGGAAATTCTAAGCAAAGGGTGGGGCTTGTGGACTGTGGGCTTAAAAATAGGTTATGTTTGGTCCACTTATTGGGAAAGCCCCAATATTACTATCTTTAGATCTTCTTGGGTTGATCAGATTCCCCCAGAGAACCCCTAACCTGGAGGGTAAGGTCCTGGCTGCCAGCCTTCTGAGAGGAGGGCCGTGCAGCCTCAATTGTGTTTGCTTAATTCCTCAGTGTTTTCAATCTAGTACTCCCACCCTCACCTAAAATTTTGTGGTCCAGAGACTCTCCATGTAAGCTATGCAGAGAATAAACCTCCAGGATTCTGCTGGGGTGGGGTAGGAGTGATCTAGAGATCTGACTCTTTGCTTCATAGTTTTCAACCAACTCTTCTATTTTAGCTGCCTGCCTTTTACCCATGCTCTGTGAGGTAATTCTGCTCTCCCCTGATTTCTTACAGCAGAATTAACTGGCTTGATAAAGGCACCATGCAAAATGAGCTGCTTTTAATTGGGCAGAGATTTTGCATCAGGCCACCTCCACAGGCCAGCCTATAGAAAGCATCTGGAGGGTGGGTACCCATGTCTGGTCAGTTGGGAGCAGAGTGACAGGGCTGCAACTCTGCACAAAAAGCTGCCTTTAAACGTACGGGCATGAAAGAGACTAAGTGCCACAGACTCGTTTTCAGAGACAAGGTATTCATTTACCTGTGAGAAGAGGAGAGTTGCCTTCAAAATTCTTAGCATTTGGATTGCAGCCGTTGAGAAGAAGAAAAGTGGCATTTTCCAAGAGGCAATTGCTGACAGCCAAAAAAAGTGGCGTTTCACCATTGTGAGTGGTTTGCTCCCACAGACTGGGTTTTGAAGCTGAAATAAATTCATCACACCACACAAGTTAAGACACAGAAATAAATGTTAAATTTATCTCTCAGAAGCGTCAAGAAGAATCAAAGGGAATTTACCGCTTAGGGTTATTTCCAAAATTTTCTTATTTAATTGCACTGCAGCCTTATGCAGAGGAATCCAGCCTATCTCATCTGCTTCGTCAAAAGCAGAATGGTACTTGGTTAAGTGTGACAATGCATCTTCTTTACCTATGAACAAGTCAAATGAGAACAGATTCACATTTGGCACACTTACAAGGAAGCCCATATTGCTTCCTGAATTCCACCACTAAAGTTAATGCCTGAGACAACAGAATTCTAGCACCACCTTTTATGAAAGACAAATGGCTTCAGACAGACAGGAAAGCTGTTCATCTAGCTTTCCACAACTGGGTGTGTCAACACCCTCACCATCTTGTTACTTACAAAACACAGCTCTGTCTAGCAAGGAACCCAGGAGCTCTTTGCTATGTTGAGCTGAAGTATTTTCTCTCAGAAAAGCCCACATCAGACTCTTGACAATCAGCTGTGGAGCTCCCCGCCTCCGCCCCGCCGCCTCCCCGCCCCACCGCAGTGTTCAGCATTTGGAAGAACCTGCCTTTGGGCCTAAGCTTTGAGGGGAAATGCTGCCAGCTGTCACTGTCACATTTTTTTTTTTTTTTTTGAGACAGAGTCTCATTCTTTGCCCAGGCTGGAGTACAGTGATATGATCTTGGCTCATTGTAACCTCTGTCTCCTGGGTTCAATCAATTCTCCTACCTTAGTCTCCTGAGTAGCTGGGATTACAGGCACCCACCATCATGCCTAGCTAATTTTTACATTTTTAGTAAAGACTAGGTTTCATCATGTTGTTCAGGCTGGTCTTGGACTCCTGACCTCAGGCCATCTGCCCACCTCGGCCTCTCAAAGTGCTGGGATTACAGGCATGAGCCACCACACCCGGCCAATGTCACCATCACATCTTACCACAAGTTAAAGGGGATAGAAGAGGAGGAGTACTTAACTTTCTCTATTGCTTCAACTATCTTCTTATACTTAGTGCTCAAAAAGGGATGGAAGCTGCATAGAAAAAAATACATATGTAATTTCAAAACTGAGGAGAAAAAAACTGTTATCTGATAATTGGATAACCAAAAGGAAAGGGTAACAGTAGTAGCAGTTAATACGGGATGAACTCTCATAGGAGGCAGTGACTGAGGCTAATAGAAATACTATTTGTAAAATGTAGTGTGGCCCTTAACAGGCTCTACGGAAACACCTTTCCTATGTCTGTCTTCCACATTAGCCTGTTGGCCTCTCCAGGACAAGAACTGTGTGACGGCCTGGATTGCAATACGCTCTTAATCAGTGTTGGCTGAACTGAATCCAACCTACCAATGACTGAAATGACACACTATCTCATGGTAAAATTTGATGGCCACTCTATAATGTCAACGATTCCAGCAAAAACTATTTTAAAAAATGGTGTGAGTTTTTAAAAATATTCACAGAATGCGTGCTCAGAATATGCTATTAGCAGTTAAGCAATGTTTTAATTATTTAAGGCTTTCAAGCTCAGTTTATGAATCTTTCTTTAAAATCTAGCAAATAAGAACTGTCACCTTCCATTCTTTTTTTTTTTTTGTGTACACATTTAGTTTTATTGTAACAAAGCAACTTGTACACTTTTAACGTTTAAAACTGAGCATCATCTTTCCTTTCCAGTGAAACAAAAAGAAAATTTAAAAATAAACAGGAACAAAATTACAATAGAGAATGTCAATTCCAAATAAGATCCTACAGGTTCTGCTGATTCTCCCATTGAGTGGCAGGGCTCAAGTCATCATTAGGAGAGAATTTATTTTAAAAGTGTCATCTTAAACTGCAAGGATGTCTGTCAAATGTCACAATTAAACATGCCAAAGGAGAAGCCATGTTGTCAAAATGCCCACTTACCCCACCCAAACATCTCAAACCCACCCTTTGCTGACCTTCTATAACCCCATTTTTTTAAGTTTTTTTTCTTTTTTTAAACAAGAGAAAGTAGACAGATACATGTTGGTAAATGCTAACTGTCCATATTCACATAGAGACACAGTGTACTCTCTGAGCCCAATATACAGAGAAAGGAGGAAAAAAGCTAGAATTCTATGCACTACTACACAGGGGCCTAGCACCCTCCAGCTTCCAGCAGAGCGAAGGGAGCAGGTTTTTCTTTTTTCCCACAGAGCTCGGTGGTGGTGATTCCATACAGTTTTTGTTAAGACAGGAAGGGATAAAATGAATTTCAAACAGAAAGGGGTAGAGACTCTTTTCCCATTGTATCCTGCTCAAGATATTTCCCCCAAAATAAGTTGAGAACCATGGTGTAGAGAAAAGAGACCTCAAAAACAGGGTGACTGAGCACAAGAGGGAAGGAAAAAAAAAAAAAAGACTGCAACTTGCTCCCAGGGACTGGAGAAAATTTAAAAAAAGGAAGGTTGGAATCCATCAGTGTTCTATTAGTCATCTTCGCCTTCATCCTCCTCTCCTTCCTCCCCTTCATCATCATCTTCATCTTCTTCACCTTCATCCTCATCCCCTTCTTCATCGATATCTTCTAATCCTTCCTCCTCTTCATCATCATCATCATCTTCTTCTCCTTCTCCTTCTTCATCATCCATATCAGGAACCAAGTAGTATTGTAATGGGTTTGGCCAAATATCATCTTTGATGACCTCTCCTAATTCATCAGCACCTGCATCAGAATGGTCAGTAAACCAGGTAAAGAAGCTCTCTGGTTCCTCATGCTGCCTCTTCCTGCTGGCTTTATTCTGCGTTTGACTTGAACGTTTCGTCAAATCCTTTCCAGATTTCCATTTGATTTCGGTGGACTTTGAAGATGGATCACCACTCTCATTCAGATGAAATTCTTTGGAGAGAACTTTATTTTCAAAGTAAGGATTTTCATCAAAATAAAAATCTATTCTGTAACCTGATTTAATATCTTCAAATTCTGTCACTTCAACTCTGGTCAAATAATGCAGTGCCTCTTCGTCCTCCTCCCCAAGCAGGGCAGACACTTGTGGATGGTTGACAAATGTTGTTACCCAAAAATTTGGGATTTTGGCGATCAATTCTGACCTCTTCTGAAAAAATGGTTGGCGGAGTTTGTTATATTTCTGTTCTACTTTCAAAATCTCCTCACTGGCTTGTTCATTAAGTCTGTCTATTTCATTTTGTACTTCATCAATGTGTTCAATTGCTTCTTGCTGTTCTTTTTCTCCCTTCTTCGGCAAGCCTGCAGAGGCCGATGTCTCCTCCAGTCCCTGAGCAGGAGGTGGTCTTGGTTTCTTCTTTTGAGGCAGGAGTGGAGACCGGCGTTTGGGGGCCATGCTGCTGGGGAAGTCCGAGAACCGGAGCACAAGTCTTCTTGCGCGTCCGGAAGCAGGCAGAACACTCCCATTCTTTAATTATTTAGTGAACCCAGGTCGCAGAGAATAAATTCCCTTGGACAGTCTGTCCTGTTTACAATTTGGTCAATTAAATTCTCTTAAACATTTAAACCTGCACTCATAGATTTAGTATTGTGTTCGTTTTCTATGGCTGCTGTAAGAAGTAACCACACATTTAGTGGCTTACAACAATAATAAAACAAATTTATTATCTTACAGTTCAGTAGTTCTGAAATCCAAAGCAGTCTTCACTGGACTAAAATCAAGGTGTCAGCAGGGCTGTGTTCCTTTTGGAGGCTCTTGGGGAGAATCTATCTTTTCCTTTTCCAGCTTCTAGAGGCCACCCACTTTTCTTGGCTTGTGGACTCCTTCCTCCATCTTCAAAGCCAGCAATATTGGGCTTAGTTCTTCTAACACTGCCATCTCCCAGGTCCTCTATCCTGCCTCCCTCCTTTACATTTAAAGATCCTGTGTTACACTAGGACCACCTGGGTAATCCAGAATACACCCCCATCTAAAAGCTGATTAGCAAGCCATAATTCCACCTGTAGCCTTACTTCTCCTTTGCCATGTAAGGTTCCAGAAATTAGGACATCTTTGGATGGAACCGTTACTCCACATATCACAAGCATGTTCTAGTTTTCTAATTCCATCAAATACCTGACCAAGTCAGCAAGCCTGCATTAAGTATCATACAATTCCTGCAACTCTAATCAAGTAAATGCGTAACTACAGTTAATTTCAGTTTCTCTGAAACATTTCAATACTCTACTTAGCCCAACTCTCTTATACCTTTCAACCTGAAATTATGAGTTCAAAGTCAGTTATTTAGTTATGCAATTTAAGGTTTCAATCATAAGGTTACTATAACAATCTAATAAAGCAAATTTCTTTACAAAACTTTAAAGATTATTTTAAAAGTGAATCCTAAATTGAACACAAAAGTATAGGAATAGTGTGTGGTTAAAAGCACAGACTCTAGAATCAGCCTGCCTGGCTCTTCACTTACTAGCTCTGTGACCTTGGATAGTCACTTTTCTGTGCCTCATTTTCCTCATCTCGAAATAGGGATAGTAATAGGACCTACCTCATAGAGAGGTAATGAGAATTAGAATTTAAAAGTTGGTTTTTATGAAGTGCTTAAAATAACATGACACACAGTGATCACTCCATGAGTTTGTTACATTTTAAAAATACTATATAGGTTTGATGTATTTCATGTCTATATTTAGTTATGAAATCTCTTGGGGATAAAAGACATTTTTCTAGTTTTACCTCCAGCAGGCAAATAGAGATTATCATCCCAAGCAAACTGGGTTATCCCCCAGAAAAAAAACCGTGGTCTTAGGAGACCACGGTTGCTAATTAGCCAGAGAGCGCATGAGCAGATGTGCTCTCAATTCCCAAAGACATCACGTATTGCAGAGTTTTTCTCTAGCCTGTCATAGCCTCATTTCTTTCTTCTTCAGTCTGCATCACCTCATCCAGATTTGCTGCTAACTTCCTTCAGCTATTTTTTTATTGCCTAATTCTGAATTCTTTCTAGATTATTCCTGTCTAATCAGGCATAATATCTTACAGATATCTAAGTGACAGCTCCTTGAATTCTGACCCTCCTGTTTTTGTCACAACACTAGAGTTAAGCTAATGACAAGTGTCAGCTGTTGAATACAGCACTTAATACTACACTGCCAATGAGAAAACCATTACCTCTCATCGTCAGGTGCATGTTGTGTTGTTCCTGGCTTGTAAATATCCTGTAAACTCTGTTGAATGATGAACTGGGTGTCAAAGTCTTCGTCTATGTCTTCGTCGCTGGTGTAATTATCCATGTGAAACGCGGACAGGTTTAAAGTCAGAGTGTATTAATATTTTTCCAGCTGTGAAAAGATTATCAACTGCTTAAAATTACAAATGAAATTCAGAAACCTAGAAAATTGATAGGATTAATAAATGAAAAATATACACAATTTAGGAAACAAAATATTCATTAAAAATTTTCTATAAACTTAAAAGAGTTTTCTGGACTACCACAGATTCAACAAAAATTAGAAGTGTCCATGAGTAGCCATTGACTTAAAGCTTATTTAGGAAAAAGCACCTTTCAAATAAGACTTTAGTTAGTGCCACTCTGACAACACTCTGATGATCTGTTAGACTTGGCAGTGACTTTTTCACAGTGATTGTAGCACTCATCCAAAATGATATCTTTCCTACACACAGTGAGTGTTATGCTGAAAATAATATTTTGCTTAATAAACATTAAAAATAAACATGCTATAGGAACAAATGTATTCTCATAATTACAACAGAGATACGGCAGTAGTAAAAACAAATGTATCTTATTAGGCAATATCTAAATGGTTTTAAAAGAAAAATGTCAGTTTTAGCATAGAATACATTTGGTCACATGTCAAAGACTTTTTACCTTTTGTTATATCCTCTAGGACAGCACTGAAGTTTTCACTGTTAAGGACTAACACATGTAAGCTTCAGAATTTTCATTTCTATTTAGGATCGCCTCTCTCTTGTAGTGACCATTCCATTAATAGCTTTACTATAAATACTTCATCATAAGACAGTCTGGCACATTCTCCTTGTTTTTTACATGTGGTTTAGCTCTTTTTGGAAACATGATCTCTTTTCTTCACTGCTATATTCATCAAATTTAAAGGATTAAACATTTTATTCTTTGAATAAAATGCTTTTGCAGGGGGGTGTCCATGCAAAGATAATTCATTCTCTTAAGACTCATGCACATAGCCACTGCAAACCAGAATCCATTTTTCATTTCAGAGAAACCAACATTTTGCTCTTGACCCAATTATCCAAAGTGACTGTCCCAATTGTACTAGATTCACTGGGTAGCTGTGCCTCCATTTTTGTTGGGTTACGGAACTGTGGCCTTAAGTGTCCTTGGAATCCTAAGGGAAGAATTCACTTTTCACAAAATAAAATTTTTACTAAAATTGTTTTGTTGAAATATTTTTAAATTGTTAACATACACTTAAAAAAGCAAAGGGACCACTTAATATTTCAAGTTAAATATGGAGCAAATGCCAAGAAGCGCAATGTCACCGCAGATTTGGAAGTTAGGACTGCCCTCCAGCCATCTTACTGCCTTTGTAGGTCAACTTCACAGCTTTGAGTTTCCTTTCCTAGTCACAGGGTATGGTGAGAAATGAAACTAATGTCTTAGAGGTATGAAATAAGGACTGTAGTTGTGTAATTGTTTTAGTATTTTCCATATTTATAATTTCTTAATTTATGTATTTGAAGTATTTATGTATAATTCCTTTAGGAAGGAGAGTGGAAAATAAACTATACTGGAGCCAAAGGAATGACTTAACATTTGTGAGGGAGATAATTTCTGATATTTGTTAAATTTTATCAATTTAACTCCCCCAAATCTGTTTTCCACATACAATCAAACTTTAAAAAGAAACTAAATAAAAACGTTAAAAATTTCTCATCTGCTTCCCAAACACACTTCATTTTCCTTCCATAGGTGATCTCAAAAGAGTCCATCTAAAAGGCCATATTCCAAACAAGAGTGATATATCAGAGAGAACAATGCAATGACTATTTTAAAGAGTAACACCAAGATACTTGGTTTTATAATGTATATATTTTAAGACAGGGGTTTTTTTAACTTTCAGATGTTTTATAAATTTGTCCAATTTAGTCATCCAACTGACAAAGCAAAGCGACCCCACGCTTGATCCAGTGCTGAGTAGGTTGGTCTGTTTTTAACAACATTGCAATGACAAAGTTAGTAGAATGTCCCGTAGTGGAAAGAGTTCCTTTACGTTCACTTGTCTTGTAGAGGGGACAAACATAGGCATCCGACTTTATAATCTGAGATTTTTGAGCTTGAAAAAAAATAAAGAAATACATTTATTTGATAAAGGGGAAAAAAGTCATTGGTACTAAAAGAACTATTTGTCTTGTAATAAAATGGCCAGTACTACATCTAAGATCAAAATTGTGATATTTGAAGGTTTTAGAGTGTGTGTGTGTGTGTGTGTGTGTGTGTGTGTGTGTGTGTGAAGTACATATAGTATTATGGTTGTAAAATAAGGCAAATATTTCATGTGGTGCATGATTCTAGGTGTGGAAGACAGGAAGAGATTTTAAAGTTCTGATCACTTAGCAGACATGAGAAAAGAGGATTTGGGAGGGAAGAAGGAGAGAGGGAAGAAGGGAAGATGTATACTCTCTATACAGTATGGATAGTGGAGGAGACCTGAAAGGAGAAATATAACTGCTTAGAGCTCTAATCCAAGACACCTACACATTAGAAGAAGCTGACATTTCTATTTGTTTTTAGCAGATAAATAATAAGAAAAACACATCAACTCTTACCAATTCACAAAAAGAAACTACATACAATCACCAAAAAGCAAGATATGAGATATTAGGAATCTTTCTAAACTGAGTTCACATTTCTCATAGTTATAACTGAACCACATTCATAATGAGAATATTTGATAGGTTGGAAAGTGATTCTGGGTGATCAGTAAATGTTTTCATTTATTGTTATTTAAGAATAAAAAAGGTAAGGAAAAGAAAATAAAAGAATGAGACTGTTTTTTCCAGACTTGTAGAAATTAGGCAATATCTAAATGGTTTTAAAAGAAACCAAGAAAGTATGGCATAATTTCCTGAGTGAAGCTGGAAATTCATTATTTACTGTAAATATGTATTTATCATTCCATCAAAAGGCAAGATGATGACAGAAGCAGGGAAGGAGCAAACAGTTTCCAAAATGGAGCAAAATTGGCACCCACCCCACGTGGCTGGCAGCATCTATGCCTTGGGGCACCTGGCTGGCTCCTAGCTGTTTCTTATAGCCAGAAAATGCTAGTCACTAGCTGGAGACTGTGTCAAGCTAATTTGTGCCCATGAGCAATGTGCAAAGGGAATTCAGAATCAAAATATGAATGGGTCACTGTTCAATGTGTGAACCCCCTCGTAGAAGTGGGGGGAGGGGGCTGAAAAGAATGATATATCTTATAGGCTAAGAGCATCAAAAAGCAAAATTATATTCCCAAAATAATATAAATGCCACACACAAAGGGATAATAATTTCTAATATTAATACTTCATCACTGTTTATTATAATTGTCTTAGGTCCTAAAAAGTTTGAGCAAAAACTTATTTTGGGGAGCAGTGTATAATAGCCATCCTTACTCTCCCTAAAACTCAAATTTTGTTTAGAGAATATTTACTTGGTTTTATCCATATGATGGGCATCAGGTCAAACAGAAGTTTGGGATATTGTTCAGCAAGCAATCCACTGTAAAGAGAAATGGACAGAGATTATTAGAAATAACTTACAGAATTTGCTTCTAAGAACAGATTGCTACTTACATATTGGCTTTTACTAGAATAAAGGACTAGAGACATAGAGGAAAAGAAATGTAAAAAAAAGAAAATGAAAAAGTGACAATGAAGAATTGAGAGAAACAAAAGAAAACTCTGGAAAGGCAAAGGGTAAACAGTGGACACATATCAGTGTCAGCCAATTTTTAATGACCATCCATGAGGCAGATGCTATCACATTTGACCCTGACAATGATCCTGTCCCCGTTCCTATTCCTATTTCACAGATACAAATTGGAGGCTTGGAGACACTGGGCATTCTTCTCAGTTACACAGCTCCTAAGCGCCAGCATCAGGATTCAAACAGATCTACCTATCTAGAAAATCTGGTTCCTTTTCACTATGCTGCATTGTTTATTAGTTGGAAGGAATGAAGGTGGGAAGAAAAGGAAGAAAAAATGAATATATACACAAGGCAAAGTAAGTTAAGAAAAACAGCAGTAAAGAGATGAAAACAGAAGAGACTGAAATAATGAAATGAACTTACGTGCAGTTGACTGTCCTCATAACACTGTCTTAGAATTAGCTCTGCAGAACTATCTTATTGCCCCCTCTTACATGATTTTTCCTACTCAGTCTTTAATGCTCCCTTGGGAGCAACATCTAACTCTGACCCTGGAGATAGAGGATTATGCCTATAAATGGATTGTTAAGGCCAGGGCTCCAAGGGAAACTTTCTCTCCTTCTCTCCTACCCTATAAATTTTATTTATTTTTTCTTTTTTTTTAAATTATACTTTAAGTTCTGGGGTACATGTGCTGATTGTGCAAGATTGTTACATAGGTATACACATCCCCATTTATTTTAAACAGGAATAGTATGGCATAATTTCCTGAGTGAAGCTAGAAATTATTTACTGTAAATATTTATTTTTCCATCAAAAGGCAGGAAAAGGTTTCCCACTCACTAACAGAAAGGAGAACTTCATTATAACTAACTGTAAACTGTTTAAAAGTGAGGTGGCCCTACACATTACAAAACGGAAGGCAACTGCTATAAAGCGGAATAAGCAGGAAAATAATTTCAGCTATCTAATAAGACTACTGAAATACTGACTAAAAATTATTCAGGACCTAAAAATAACAACTCATCAGTTGCCCCAGCTTGACTAATGATTTATGTGAGAATTCTGATATTATTTATTACTTGCCTTAGAAAAGGACTTTTTTTTTTTTTTTTAAAGCAGCAGATTGCTTATCTATGATTCAGCTACAAATGAAGAGGTCCTTGCGGGTGAAACCACTGACCTTTCTCGGTCCCAGCGTGCACCATCAAGATATAATCCGTGGATATAAACACCATCTTCTGGCGATGTGTCAGATGTGTCAGATGGGATAACCTGGAGGGAGAGGGACACAGTGGCAATGATCCTCTCAGACAACTTGATCTCATAAAGAACATATTAGCTAAATATTCAGAACATATTCAGGGAAACTCTATTGTATAATAGCTTATAAATGATACATTTTTTCAGACATAATTTTTAAAAAAGTATATTATTGTTTTATTGACCATGGGTTCTTTTTGAAGTATTTTATCAAATTTTACTGTAATTCATAATAATTTTTGCTAAAGTAGAAGAACAGCTTTGGATTATTTAAATCAAATATTGTAATATATAAAAGTTCTATCAGGGATAGCAAGACATATTCTTCATACAACACAAAGAAGAAAGTAAAATTGCTTACAATGGGTTATAATATATAAACTCGGCTTAAGTACATGATTTAATGTAATGACATACTGTTGACTTTAAGGAATTACTGTACCTCAAATTCGTATCCTAGCAAATCAATAGGGGTAGTATATTTTCTGGCATAATTCTGCATAGCTCCAGTTAAAAAGGCCTGGGTGAAAAAGAAACCTGACAGCCAAAACACACAAGGTTTTCCTGAATTATACCAGTCCTGTAAAGGGAAAACAAAACACATTATGTCAGTTTTTAAAGTTATACCAGTGCCACCTGATGTACAATTTCTGATTCTGGTTTTTGCGTATGTTGCCCACACTTTCCATCACCAGGCCCTCTTCCCGGACGTCAAACACGCAGCCTATCTCGGCCTTCCACCTCTTTCCGTTTCTAGTTACTCTTCTTCAAAAACTCAAAACAGTTTGAACATCAACCTGAATGAAACATAGTTTGAAAGAGTCAAATCTTCTTCAAAAGCCAAATG